CAATTTGTACACATTTCTTCGAATATTCCTCACGAAAGGAAAATGAGGCAATAAAGTGTTTATCTATGCAATGTATGACATGCAAAGATTCGGATTTGTATAGCATTCCGGAGGATGTCCTAATCTGCTACTCGTACGTGAAACGGAACAATTTTTTAGCTGCGCCATGAATTTAACATTCATTATCTTTTTCAAAGTACCTTCTTCAAACAGTTCCAAAAATTTTACAAACTTTTCCATGGAAGTATCATTTATGTGGCATTTGTTCTCATCACAATGCCACATTTTTAATTTTTTATCATTGTTATCTATTACGGCAAAACATTTATTACTCCGTGAGGAGAGAATTGTCTCATTATAAGTGGTTGCTCAAACTTTTTCCTTTGTTCGTAAGCAGTTTCATAAAAGTACGCTTCGGAAGACGAAGTATGTTTGGATAAGCCACAAAGAGCTTTAAGTTGATTGCTTTTTGGATATTTCAGTTTTACATTCATTGAATCGCAATAACGCAGCTTCAGCAACGTTTTTCAAATATGAAAACACTTCTTGCTGCATTGAGGTACGATTTTCTTGCTATTACACACCACTTAAATATCTGTTCGGCTTCCAATCGAGCACATACTGTTGATTTATTAATTTTTCTCGGCATCTGTTGAATATATAACTCTGAATATTTTGGAAACTTAAAACACTTTTGCCAAGATCGAACAGTATTACATTTTTCCTTCATTCTCTTGAACATTTTCCATCTTTGTACGATAGACTTCTCGGCACAGAAAGAGAGTGAAAGAGGACAAAGAAGAGTGAAAGAGGACGAAAGAGGGTGAGAGAGGGCGAAAAAGGGTGAAAGAGGGCGAAAAAGGGTGAAAAAGGGCGAAAAAGGGTGAAAAAGGACAAAGAGGATGAGAAGAAATGAAAGAGGTTGAAAGAGGACGAAAGAAGGTGAAAGAGGGTGAGAGAGAATGAAAGAGAGTGAAGAGGGAATGAAAGAGGTTGAAAGAGGACGAAAGAGGGTGAAAAAGGGTGAAAAAGGACGAAAGAGGGTAAGAGGGAATGAAAGAGGGTGAAAGAGGACGAAAGAGGGTGAGAGAGAATGAAAGAGGATGAGAGAGGACGAAAGAGGGTGAGAGAGGACGAAAGAGGGTGAAAGAGGACGAAAGAGGGTGAAAAAGGACGAAAGAGGGTGAAAGAGGACGAAAGAGGCGAAAGATGGTGAAAAAGGACGAAAGAGGGTGAAAGAGGACGAAAGAGGCGAAAGATGGTGAAAAAGGACGAAAGAGGGTGAAAGAGGGCGAAAGAGGATGAAAAAGGGAATGGAAGAGGGTGAAAGAGGACGAAAAAGGGTGAGTTAGGGCGAAAGAGGGATGGTGGAGGGGGGTGGGGTTGAGGGAGGTGGAGGGGTTGTGGGTAGGAAAGGGGTGGGTGGAAGTTGAGGGAGGTGTGAGTGAAAGGTGAGAAGAGATTGTATATATTGCTTAATATTTCGCGGCGCGGGATATTCCAGGATCGGTCGCGTCTTTTCGGGATCTACGGTGGGGCCCTCTCGTTGCACACTAAACCCTAAATAACGCACCCGAGAGCGACAAAATTCGCATTTGTCCGGGTTAACGGTAAGTCCAGCGGTAACTATCTTGTTTAAAACTTTCTTTAGCCAAATCATATGATCTTTGAACGTAGGCGTGACTATCACGATATCGTCCAGGTATGCGAACGCGTGAGGCTCCATTTCGGGGCCTAATAACCGATCTAATAAACGTTGGAAAGTAGCCGGAGCCCCCGTAAGTCCATATGGCATTCGCGTAAAATGATATAATCCCATCCCTGGAACACTAAATGCGGTAATCTCTCTACTATTTTTGGCTAACGGTATCTGAAAATATGCCTGGCTCAAATCGATCGTTGAAATATATTTAGCCGATCGTAATTTGTCCAAAATCCCGTTCATATTTGGCAATGGGTACGCGTCTTTTTTTGATACCCCGTTAACTTTTCGGAAATCCAGGCAAAAGCGGTATTTACCGTTCGGTTTCTTGACCATCACTATCGGATTCGACCATTTGCTATAGGATGGCTCTATAATTCCCGCCGCGAGCATTTTTTCAGTCTCCGCCCGTATCGCTTCCTGTACTTTTGGCGATACTAAATAGCAACGTTGCTTAATCGGGGGGCTCGGATCTACGTCTATGGTGTGCTCTGTTAGTGCGGTAACTCCGGGGGTGTCCGTGATTGGCGGTAGCGTTTGTAAAAATTTTCCCAGGGTTTGTTCTTGCGTGGGCGTCAAGTCGGATAACCCACAGCACGATATCCCCTGCCTACCTTCGGTAGTGAGACGGTAACGAATGTGTGGCGTCTGCGTAAAATGCCATTCGCTTGTGGCAAAATCTATCGCTATTCCGAACTTCGTTAAAAAATCAATCCCGAGTATACACGGTACGGCTAAATTCGGTAACAACCCAACGGTAATTTCACGGCATCTATCCTCTAATTGTATCGGTATGGTGGCCTCGGCTATAATATCCGCGAGCTGACCGTTCGCGGTTCGGATCTGAATTCCTCTAGTGCGCGACGTCGGGATGTTTAGCGCGTCGATAATTTTCATTCCCTCGCGGCCTACCAAGGTACGATTCGACCCCGAGTCCACGAGAGCCGTGAGGCTATGGCCGCGTATCATAACGCAGAAGAAACGTAAAGACGGTAATATTTCTTCCCCGACGGTAACATAAGAATAATTGCAGGTCTTGTTCTTAAAACTCGGAGTCGTAGGGACCCCCTCTACGGGCTCCGGTTCGCGTTTCCCGTACACTTTGTACACGTTTGCACGGTAACATCCGGTTTCCCGCAGCGATAACAATATTTTCGGCGAGGTTCCGCACACCCGCGTGCGCGATGTCCGGTCTTGTTACAATTCCAGCATTTTATTATGCTGGCGTTGTTTACAGCCGGACTTACGGTATCTGAGACGGTAGCCGCCGCGGTAATTGGGGCTCCGATATTCGCGGTCGTATTCTTTGCGGTCTTCCTCTCTTTTCGAGTCGCGGTCGCGGCCGCAACGGTAATCGGGGCTCGCGTTTTCTCTTTTGGCGCGTGATACGCCAAATCCGGGAAGATAGACTGTTTGGGCGGTAACGGGGGACGGTAATTTTTTTCGGCCAGAAAACTACGCTCGACTCGCGTCGCCAAATATTCGAGCGTCGAAAAATCCTCGAATTCTTGTCGCCGGATCGTAATTTGCAACTTTGGTAACATATTGCGATGCGCGAAATTTAGCTGCTCCGCCAGGGGCCACTGAGGGGACATCCGACTCAACAAAGCCCTTAAGCATGTCAAATAATCGGTCGCGCTCTCAAATTCTCCCTGCGTTCTACGGAAAATTTCGTCTCGGAGCGCATATTGATAATCGGGGTCTCCAAATCTCCCTCTCCAGGCAGTCTCGAAATCCCGCCAATCTCCAATTTTCTGCCTCTAATCTCACCCAATATAAAGCGGCATCCGATAGAAACAACGGTAGGCACTTAAACAGATCCGCGTCCGAAATCGGTACAATGGGCCGGGCCTTCTTAATGCGTAGCAAAAATGCCTCCGCGTCGCTACCCCGTTTCCCCGAGAAGTGTAAATTCCACTTCCTCATAAGGTTATATGCCTCCGCGGTGGAAGCTCGTCCGGGTCGCGGGTTATTCGCCTCTGAAGCGGGATCGCGGTATCTAACTCGCGGCCTAACCGATTTTCGTTCCACCTCCTGTATCCCCTCGAATGACTCGAATAAGGGGGGTGTAGGATCGGCTGCGGCCCCCTCTTCTAAGGGGTTCCTACTTAGTAAAGGGTCCGATACCCTTCCGGGGGTTCCCTCCTCTGTCGCCATGTGCCCTCTCGCTAGTCCCTCCTCGTATTGCAACAATCGCGCCCTTAATACCGGCACAATACCCTGGATACTCAGGTTCCTATCAGCTAAGTGATGTCGCGCTTGACTCTCCGTTAAGCTTTGTATCCACCGGTGTGGATCGCTGCCTGGCCTCATCGGTAACTTTAAACGGAACGGTGATAAAATCGGAAAGTTTGAATCCAGTTGAGAGTAAACCGAAGCAAAACTGTTAAAAGTGAGTAGTTAATTTAAGAAACAAGAGGAAAAAGAAAAAAAAAATTTTTGTGAACGGGAGTCAATAATCATAAAATAATAATAAAATTAATAATAAAAAAAAATTATATTGAGTGTTGATCCGCACTAATGATTTGAAATAATCCGAAAGAGAGAAAAAAAAATAAACGGAATGAAAAGGAATAATAATAATAATAATCCCAGAGCTATAAGAAATTAAAAATAATAATAAATTCAATACGAAAAAGGAAAAAAAATAAAAACAGACAAAACACCAAAAAAAAATTATTTGCTAAGAGGTTTCGGTAACTAGACTTAAAAAAAAATAAAAAAACCAAAAAAAAATGATAATAATAAATCGCGATATTAAACAGGAAAAATAATAACTTTCAGTCACGAAGTGAAGATTATAAAAGAAAAGAAGAGAAAAAAAATAATAACTTCAACAATATAAAAAGAGAAAGAAATTAATAACAATGACTCTAACAATATTCGATAAGAAAGACGGAAGGAAGAAAAAAAATTATACTAACAATAAGTACGTTTACCTCTCAACGGTTGACTCAAGGTACCCAAAAAAAGAAAACGAGAAAATAAAAACTCTACTGTTGTTCCAAAAAAGTAACACGAAAGAACAAGAGAGCAAAAAAAATGATAATATCTCATACAAAACAAACGACTAAATTCGGTATCCGTGTATAGGTCGAAACGGTATCAAGAGGCCAGGGTACTCGCCCTAAAGCTGAGTAACGGTATCCACGCACAACAAACAAAAACAAGCAGAAAAAAAGAAATTTTATATATCTAAAATCGAAAATATTGTAAGAAATCGAGATTATTAATGTAAGAATTTAATAAAGTATTTAATTACGGATGACCGTTAAAAGTTTTAACTGTTCTTAGAAAGCGCGGAAAGTACGAAGGTTTGAGAAAGGTGTTTGAAAGTCACTCAACAAAATATTCACGTAAAGACAAAGACTGCTATTTATTTCGTAAGACTCCCGTATACAAAAATCAACTATCTTTTAGGTATACTGCTCGAAGGAGAGTCCCGGGTTTCTCAGCTCGCTAGCTTAAATACCCTTTTGACTCTCCCGCGCGCGCCGCTCTAGTTTGCGCCCTTTACGCTTATCGCCGAGGGCAGCAGTTATCGGGGACAGATAGCTGTCGTATCGGCGCGTGCGCAATCAGCCGATCGGTGGCGATTGCTTTCAGCTCGGCCATGCTGCAATTAATTTCGTCTCGAAATTATAATTTTTTTTTTTTTTTAATATTAAGTAGTACCGCTTATTATTTTAACAGGTACGTATTCTATTTATTTTACGCAGGTACGTATTACATTAATAAAAAATTTTTTTTTTTTTACACTTATTAACATTAGACTATACAATACAGATTATTTACCTTGGCGACTACCTATTAATCGGTCTCTTTTTTCCCTATTTTTATCCAAGGTTTTATTCTATCTGCGGAAAGGATCGTATCCAGGGGTTTCTGCTTAATATTAAAGCCTGGGATGTCCTTAACGACATAGCGACTATTGCCCAGACTTTTTGCAATAAGGTAAGGCCCCTTATAATTTGGTTTGAGCTTTGAGCTCGTACCTATTTTGGGGGCAGTGTCCCTTATCAAAACGTACTCCCCTGGTTTATATCGCGTTGGCTTGATACTGTGAGTATCTTTGTATTCTTTATTGTATGCTCTCACAAGGTCTGTTGCTCGTGAAGCATTGTCCCTATTAATATCTCTCTCTTTTTCTAGGTCCTCATCGACGGTGACAAGGGCCTTCGTGAAATTGGCTAGAGAGTGATCCGAATGGCTGCGTTGGTCAAAACCTAACATTAGTTTTGCTGGACTTGATTTAGTCACAGTGTGGTACGTATTGTTGATCACGTATTGCATTCTCCCTAAATAATTTTTCCACTCATCTGGCGCATCGATGAGCTTGGTTAGCGATGATTTTAAGAATCTGTTCACTCTTTCAACTGTGCCATTTGCCCAGGGTGCTGCTACGGCCACCTTGCGGTGCTTGATACCTTTGTCCGATAATAACTCTATGAATTCTTTAGAGGTAAAGGTGGTTCCTCTATCCGATATCACTTCCATAGGATTGCCAAAACTTGTGAAAATATTTTCTAAGCATGTAATTGATTCTCTACTACTGGTTGTTTTGTTGGGAAACAACCAGGTGAATCTGGTGAAAGCATCTATCACTACTAAGATATATTTGTATTTTTCTACAGTTTCCTGCAGTGGACCGAAGTGGTCTACATGCAACGTATTTAACGGAACCTTGGGCAAAGGATGCAGTTGAGTTTCCCTTTTGAACCTGTTAAGCGCGTTATTGGCTGTAAGACAGGTAAGACAATTGTCTATGTGTTCTTTTACGCGCTTCCTCATGGTGGGAAACCAATAGTTTTTTAAGATTCCGTTTACTGTTTTTTCTACTCCGCAATGAGCCATCTCGTTATGATAAATTCTCATTATATTGGATATCATCGACTCCGGAATTACAAATTTCAGTTCGTTATCGATTTTCTTATAAACCAATCCGTCTACTAATGCGAATTTATCATTATGCTCTAGTTCTAACGTTTTACTAATTTCTAGGATATTCGAATCCGCAAGCTGAAGGAACTCAAGTCGTCTCTCCAGCGGAAGTTCGTCTATGTGTGCGACACTTCGACTAAGTGCGTCTACATGTGCCATGCGACTACCTGGACGATGTATGATGTCGAACGAGTAATTTTGCAGCGCGAGAGTCCATCGAGCTATTCGCGGGTTTAGGTTTGCTTTATTTACGGCATATACTACTGCGTTACAATCTGTTACAATTGTGAACCGCGTGCCATATAAGTATATGTGAAACCGCTCAACTGATTTAACGATTGCTAACATTTCCAGCTCGTAGCTGTGATACCTGCTCTCTGCTGCGTTCGTACCTTGACTAAAATACGCAACTGGACCCCAGGAATTATCGCGTCGCTGGAGAAGGATCGCTCCGAACCCTAAGCAACATGCGTCTGTGTAACTGGGTTTCGGCCGCCGGATCGTACAGTCTCAGCAACGGAGTGGAGGTCAGCTCCTTTTTCAAAGTTTCGAATGCTTGCGCGCAACGTTCGTCAAAATTGTATACAACGTCTTTTTTCAAAAGATTCTGTAGTGGTTTAGCTTTCAGCGCGAAATCTTTAACAAATTTTCTGAAATAACTCGCGAGTCCTAGAAAACGTTGTAATTTTAATTTGTCGGACGGTTCTCTATATCCTGTGATCGCGTCCACGTGACGGGGGCTTAATGTAATCCCGTCCGCGTTTATTATGTATCCCAAAAATTCTATCTTTTTCCTTAAAAATTTACATTTTCCGAAATTTAGCTCGAAGCCGTGCGTTTTCAATATAACGAGAACTTCTTTTAGTGTGTCAAGATTTTGCTCTATTGTTACAGACTGTATTAGCACGTCGTCTATATAGACTATTACTTTGTTTTCTCTGATTAACGAATTAAGGATGCTAATTAGTCTTTTCTGAAATTCGGCCGGTGCCTCGCAATAACCGAATGGCAACCGGGTAAACTCGAATTGACCGTCCGGGGTCGCGAATGAAAAGTACTTCATGGAGTCTTCATGGACTCTGATTTGATGAAAACTATCTTTTAAGTCCAATAATGAAAAAACGCGACTTCCACTCAATCGCGATAAGCATTCTTCGATTACCGGGAACGGATACTTTTGCTTGATCACACGATTGTTCAACGGTCGCAGATCAACACACAAACGCATCTTACCATTTTTCTTTTTCACAGGTACGACCCGCGCGCAATAAGGCGAGACGCTCGGCCTAATAATACCTCGCTCTAGGAGGTCGTCTGTGATTTGCCGGATCTGCGTTCGCTCTACATTTGCGAAGCGCCTGGGTGCGAACGCATAGATTGACGGATCTCTCAAATGTACACGCACTGAGAAGTCGTCGTTTACAGGTGACGTGTCCTGTTCTTGTATCTCTAAAATAATTTTTTGCAACTTTATTTTTGTTTCGCGCCCGAAGTCTATTTTATGTTCCTCGAGTATTTGTTTTAAACTCAAGTCCTCGTCGATATACAAAGGCAAATTCGCAAACATGTTTATTCGGTCATGTTCACCTTGCGCCGCCGGTTCGTATATTAGAGTGATATTGTTTTTCGACAAAAATTCTCTCCCAAGTATAATGTCGCCCTTGAACGCGTCGGAGTGCAAAACTTATAACCGTATTGAAAATGTTTTGTCGCTAATTTTTTTCACAGTTATCTGAGCGTCCACCAACCCGAGTATTTTCAACGGGACGTTCGATAGATTACGTAAATTTGTTTCAACCGATTTGAGAACGCAAAATGGCGCAATAAATTTTTCATATACGCTATTTTTTACTAGCGAAACCGGGCTATCCGTATCTATAAGTCCTAACAAATCGCATGAATTTCCTAAAATTTCGTTTATAGAAATCAACGGGTCGTCGACGGTCGACTTGCACGCTTCCTGTGTTGCCGCCACGAAATCGGATGCTACCTCGTCCGCGGTCACGTTGGCTGCAGTGATTCCCGATGCAGGCTGCGCCCTGGTCGCCGACTTCGACTCCTTTTTCTTTAATGCGGGGCAATCAAACCGACGATGCCCCTTTTCTTTACAGTAGAAACAAGTGGTCTCACCTCTACAGTCCTTGTGAGTATGCCCTCTTTTACCACAATTTCTGCAGGCTGACTCCTTGCCGCCCTTGCTGGACTGACCCTGCTGCGCTGGTTTCCGGTCCCACTCGGAGGCGCCCTGAGTGATACGCCGCATCCTCTCCAGGAAGCCGTCCACCGTGTCCTCCGATAGTGACAGCGCGGTCGCCTTCAAAGTGGTGATGGTGATTCCGCTCACCAACAGATGCACCTTGTCCGCCTCGGGAAGGTCCACTCGATGCAGCATTGCCAGTTTTTCTATGGCATAATCGTCGAAGGTTTCCTTTGCAGGAAGCCATTTTCGTGCCTCTATTTTTTGCATTACACGAAAGAACGAAATTTTCCGATCGAAAATCTTAACTAACTCTGTTCGCAGGCCGCTCCAGGATTTCACCGCGGCGTCTCCCTGCAAGTCGTACCACCGGCGAGCCGATTTGGTGAGGCGGCTGGAGGCTGCTAAGAGAATCGCCCCGTCTGTAACGCTGTGGACCTGGGCGACTTTGTCCACCCGTCGGACCCACGCGTGCACGTTATCATCCTCTTGGCCCGCGAATTCCGGGATTTGCAAAGCCAGTGCCTGGATTGAACCTGTCGGCGTCCAGGACTCCGCCGTCCGACGGTCCACATCGTCCGTCGGTGACACTCTCGGGGCCCTAGAAGGACCCGGCGAAAAGACAGACTCCGCATCTAGTGGCAGAACCGGGACAGCGGCGGGCTCTCGTCGCTGCTCCATCACAAAGTTAAGTAGCATGTTCAATTGTTGCTGCTGCTGTTGCTGCTGCTGCTGCTGCTGCTGGATAGTCACCAGCATCTGTCTTATCATTTCTGTCATTTCCAGAGACTCTGTGGCCGTCGCCGAAGTTTCTGACGACCCTGCTGCCCTAGCCGGTGCCGCCTTTTTATTCTGGGCCTACTTGGTGGTGCTGTGAGCTGAGCCAACTCCTGGACCGGCCCGTGCCGCTCTAGATGACTCATAATTGAGTCCACCAAGTGGCTACGGCCTCCCGCTGTCGGGAGAGCGTATTTATCCGCTTCCTCGCGAAGCTCCTCCATCGTGAGGTTCTCCAGAGAGGCCCTGTCCATTGTAATTCACGCGCGTGTCCGCATACACGAATCTAATCGAGCGAATAAATCGACACTTTGTTTTAAGACAAAAACAGTTCTTATTTATTCAAAAAAAACACCCGTGTCTCGATGGATACTCCGCACGCATCCTACTTCTGATGTTGTAAGAAATAGAGATTATTAATGTAAGAATTTAATAAAGTATTTAATTACGGATGACTGTTACAAGTTTTAACTGTTCTTAGAAAGCGCGGAAAGTACGAAGGTTCGAGAAAAATGTTTGAAAGTCACTCAACAAAATATTCACGTAAAGACAAAGACTGCTATTTATTTCGTAAGACTCCCGTATACAAAAATCAACTATCTTTTAGGTATACTGCTCGAAGGAGAGTCCCGGGTTTCTCAGCTCGCTAGCTTAAATACCCTTTTGACTCTCCCGCGCGCGCCGCTCTAGTTTGCGCCCTTTACGCTTATCGCCGAGGGCAGCAGTTATCGGGGACAGATAGCTGTCGTATCGGCGCGTGCGCAATCAGCCGATCGGTGGCGATTGCTTTCAATATCAACTTATCCAACCTCTTTAGAAGTCGGAATAAAACCCAACACGGAAAGCGAGAAGGCAAAAGAAACAAAGGTATCCCTAACAATAATATATTTCTATCTTTTCCTCGGCTTGTTATTGCTAACGATAATCGCAAGCACGGCGGTGAATAACCGAAAATCTCCGGATGGTCACAAAAATAAACGAGACCACCGGGCAAAAAAAAACACAAGATAAACGAAGCAAGCTCAAATATTCAACAAGCGAAAGCACCGGAACGGTATTCGGTACTCAGATATACAGTAACAAAAAAAATTCACAAAATATTCGGTATCAGGCTTAAAACAAAAGGTCGAAAAGAAAAAAAAAACTGCGCAAAATTATCGGCACTTTCCCCTCAATAAGTATTTTAATAAAACGGTACTTAGCGCTCTCAATTACAGCGTCACGGTATCGAAATCGGCCTATTCCCTATGGCTCACAAGTTTCAGAAGCGAGGACCGCGGGCGAAATTACTCACCCAAAATAAATTCCCCAATCCTCAAATCTTCCCTTTACGGCTATCACTGTGACGACACTAAAAATTTTCCCACTAACTAACAAACAATAACTAAAAGAACGAAAACGAGAACGAAAAGACGGAACAAAACTGTTAAAAAAACACATGAAATATCAATTCACCCACAGAGAGAAAAAAAAATATAAATTTCGGTAAACAATTTAAAGAAAAGAAAAAAAAAAGAAAAGGAAAAATGTTCAGGTATAATACTCTCTCTCTCTATTGGCGTGGCCCCACGTTGGGCGCCAAAAATTTGCAACGTCTTTTCCTGCTCCGAAACGCCAAGTTCGGACAGGGGAGCGTTCAATTTAAAGATTCCCCAAGTTTAAATGGTGAAACGGTAAAAAATCGGTATCAGAAGAGTTAATTACTCGCACTTAGGGGCGTTTATTAACTCACGGTAAAGTTGGGCGCCAGGCGCATGGAAATGCGCCACGAGACTAATGTGAACGGTACTTAAGTTAACTTCCCCAGATGTTATACAGAGTCGCTGGTCTATAGGATGGTTGGGTCTATGGTTGAGAGAGAGGTATAGAGAGACATACACGTGGTGTTATAATTTGACAGATATATATATTTGACACTTTGGATTTACAATTGGACATCTGATAAATATAATTGGATAATATAATTATGTAACAAACAGTAATATATAAACTAGCGGTAGGGAAACAAAAATATAATATCAAGATCTGCGAATATCGGTATTTCGGAATTGATCTATAAAATTCTTATTATACAATGTGAAACATCTTAGAGAATTTTGCGACAATAATATACAAACGGGATAAACAAAG